TTTTAGGTTCCCTTTTAGGGAAAGGTTCTTCTTTTTGGTTCCCATTTAGGGAAAGGTTCTTCTTTTAGGTTCCCATTTAGGGAAAGGTTCTTGTTTTAGGTTCCCATTTAGGGAAAGGTTCTTCTTTTAGGTTCCCATTTAGGGAAAGGTTCTTCTTTTAGGTTCCCTTTTAGGGAAAGGTTCTTCTTTTAGGTTCCCATTTAGGGAAAGGTTCTTCTTTTTGGTTCCCATTTAGGGAAAGGTTCTTCTTTTAGGTTCTCCTTTTAGGGAAAGGTTCTTCTTTTAGGTTCCCATTTAGGGAAAGGTTCTTCTTTTAGGTTCCCTTTTAGGGAAAGGTTCTTCTTTCTATCAGGAAAAGGATGGTTGGACTCTGCAGCTCGGGTTATTCTATATTCTATGAATAATTTTATTTTTATTTATGGTTGGAGGGATGGATTCTAAGCCATGCCATGCAGCACCAGGCTCCTCCAAGCTCTGGCATTAAATCAAGCCCACATTGAGTAATTAACCCCTTTTTCTTCAGCTCTGTGCTGCTGCTGATCATCTTTTCCCCTTTTTTTTTCTGCCCCATTTGTGCTCCTGCAGCTGCACTTGAGCAGGGACAGCTCTGAAACATGAGAGTGTTATCTGTGCAGTGATCAAAAATATTAATAACGGTGATAATTCCTTTCCATTTGATCCTGGAGCCTCTTCTCCCCTCAGTGCTTTGATCAGCAGCCTCTCACTGCTTTCCCTGAGGAGTATAAATACACTTTCCACATTATTTTAATAGATGAATGTAATATTTTAATAGGTTATTGTTTATATTATATAAATCTAAAATTTTTATTTTAAAAGGTAGCAGCAGACAATCTGAAAGAGCAGTTTTATAATGTGTCATCCCCAATTTGGTGGGGGTCTCCTCCTAATGAGATCCCATCCTCTTCATCAAGGTGGACTTTTAACTTTTGTTCATGGGTTTTTTCTACTCCTCCAAGTCCTAATTTCCAATTATTTTGCTGACTGTCCCGTGCTTCTGACAAATTCTCATTAGTGCTTCCTACTGTTCTTTGCTATAGTATTTACTTGTCTACTTTTTTCAGAACTTTTTCTGATTTATGCCTCTTAGTAATTTCACATATCTATGTACTAATCTAACTAGTTAGATTACAAACTATATATTACTAATACACTATTAAAAACTTATTAATGATAGCTTTTTATACACTGTTATAATATATTAAAAGCAATTACATTGTATTTTAATAATACGTAAAAAGTTATTCCATTCTTATATTAATAATGTATTAAAAAAGCTATAAGATTTTTCAATTAATAAGCCTCACAAGCACTTTATTATTTTAATATAAACCACATGTATCAATCCCTGAAAGGCTCACGGGCTGTGGTTTTTTTTTGCAGCATGGAACGCTACGATCCGAGCAAGAATTCCTGGGAGACCGTGGCCTCCATGGCTGACAAACGGATAAACTTTGGGGTGGGAGTCATGCTGGGCTTCATCTTCGTGGTGGGGGGACACAAYGGGGTGTCCCATTTGTCCAGCATCGAGAGATACGACCCCCACCAGAACCAGTGGACGGTGTGCCGGCCCATGAAGGAGCCCAGGACAGGTGGGACATGTGGAGTTTGGCAAAAATGAATAATCTGAGCTGGGAGAAGCTGCAGGGAGAGGTTGAATGAGAGAGAATGAATGTTCTGAGCTGGGAGAAGCTGCAGGGAGAGGTTCAGTGAGAGAATGAATGTTCTGAGCTGGGAGAAGCTGCAGGGAGAGGTT